GTATAGGGCGGGGCCGGGACTGAGAGGTTCGCCGGCATTGGAGGGGACTGGGACTGGGGGATGCTCCGGGATCGGGAATCCGCCACCGGAATCGGCGTGGACCGGGCCAAGCGGGGTGCTCTGGTATGGAGGGGGACTGGGACCGACAGGTGGGGCGGTATCGCGGGAGCCCGGGACGGGCGGGAGGTCCCGGAGGACCCCAGACCGGGCGTACCCGGCGGCGCTGACGGTGCCCCGCAGGCGGCCCCCGGTGCCGGTACCGGTGCGCAGCCCCGCGCTGCATGGACTGGTACATGATGAACTGCGAGCTCCTGGCCACCTGCAGCGCCCTGGGCTACCTGGAGGGTGACGTCTACCACCGGGAGCCCGACTGCCTGGGTAGGTGGGCGCCAGGGGGGCGGGGGGTGCCGGGGGTGGCGGGGACTCACGACTCCGTGTCCCCCCAGAGAGCGTCAAGGACCTGATCCGGTACCTGCGCCACGAGGACGAGACCCGGGACGTGCGGCAGCAGCTGGGGGCAGCCCAGATCCTGCAGAACGACCTCCTGCCCATCCTGGTGCAGTACTCGCAGGACAAGGTGCTCTTCGATGCCATCGTCAGGTACTGGGGGACAGGTCTGGGGACAAGGGGTGGCCCTGTGGGTGCTCCTTGCAGAGCAGGGGTCCCTCACACCCCTCCACCCGCTCGCAGGCTGATGGTGAACCTGACGCAGCCGGCCCTGCTCTGCTTCGGGAAGGTGCCCGCGGATGCAGCCTCCCGGCACCACTTTCTCCAGGTGTTGTCCTACCTGCAGGCCTACAAGGAGGTGAGTCTGCCTGGGGCAGGGCCCTGGGTGATGTCTCTGCTCACAGGCCCCTCGCTCACCTGGGCTCTCTGCAGGCTTTTGCCAGCGAGAAGGTTTTCGTGGTGCTCAGCGAGAAGCTCTACGACCTCCTGCAGCTGGTGAGTCCCTGTGGGGGCTGCAGGGTCTGTCCCTGCTGGGGGACCCTGTGGGGGCTGCAGGGTCTGTCCCTGCTGGGGGACCCTGTGAGGGCTACAGGGGGCTCTGACGGCTCCAACCCCCCAGGACTGGGAGCAGCGACAGGAGGAGGACACGCTGCTGATCGAGAGGATCCTGCTGCTGGTGCGCAATGTGCTGCACGTCCCCCCGGACCCCACGGAGGAGCAGGTACCGAGATGGGGCCCTTCCCCGCCTCCCCAGCGAGTTTGGGGCCACCCTGGCTCTGTGGAGACCCCCACTCCCTACCCACCGTGTCCCCAGGGTGTGGACGGGGACGCCAGCGTGCACGACCGGGTGCTGTGGGCGCTGCACATCAGCGGCATGGACGACCTGCTCAAGTTCCTGGCCAGCGCCCAGGTGGAGCAGCAATGGGCCCTGCACGTCCTGGAGATCATCTCCCTCATGTTCCGAGACCAGGTGAGCCGGGGCAGGGGCTGGTGGGGCAGGGCCCCCCTGGGGACCCCACAAAGCTGACGGAGCTGCCGGCAGAACCCGGAGGAGCTGGCGGCGCTGGGACAGGGGCCGGCGGGCGCCGAGCACGGGGAGGACACGCGGGAGCTGGAGACCCTGCGGCAGCAGGAGCTGGCAGAGAAGAGGGCCCGGGCACTGCAGCGCCCGTCCAGGTGAGGAGGGGGGACCCCTGTGGCAGGGCTGGGACCCCGTGGTGGGGCCGGCACCGCTCAGCCCCTGTCCCCCTGCCCAGGCACTCCCGCTTCGGTGGCTCCTACGTCCTGCAGGGCCTGAAGTCGATCGGGGACCGGGACGTCGTGTTCCACAAAGGGCTGCACAACGTGAGTGCAGGAACAGGGGCACGGGGCACAGGATGTGGCAGAGGGCACCAGGATGGGGACATGGTGGGGGGCACAGGGACAGGGGCGTTGGAGGGGGCACAGGGAACCGAGATGCAGTGGGGGGCACAGGGATGATGCCACTGGGGTGTAAGTCTGGCAGCTCGACCCCCACAGCTGAAGAGCTACAGCCACGACCTGGGCAAGGAGCCCCAGCGGGTGCCCCGGCGGCGCCAGGCGGCCCCCGAATCCGAGCCCTCCCGCCGCTCCGCCCGCAACGTCCGGCTCTTCCTGCGCCACTTCTGCCAGGACTTCCTGGAGGGCTGCTACAACCGCCTGATGCTGCTGGTCAAGGTGAGCAGCCTGGGGGGGCCAGGACCCCCTCCCCGGGCTGTGGGAACCCCTCTGACCACCCCCCCTGCCGCCCCCAGGACCAGCTGGTGAGGGAGAAGGCTCAGCAGCACGACGAGACCTATTACCTGTGGGCCACCGCCTTCTTCATGGCCTTCAACCGGCGCCATGGTTTCCGCCCAGAGCTGGTGTCGGAGACAGTGAGTGTCCGTGCCTTCCACTTCATTGAGCAGAACCTCACCAAATACTACGAGATGGCCCTGATGGACAAGAAGGAGGCAACAACCTGGGCCCACAGGTGAGCACCCTGGGCACCTGGGACCCCCTTGGGCATCTGGGACCCCCTGGGCATCTGGGACACCCCGTGGTGTCTGGGGCTCCCTGGGCACCTGGGGCCACCACACTGCCATCCCCAGGATGCACCTGGCCCTGAAGGCGTACCAGGAGCTGCTGCGGACGGTGCAGGAGATGGACCGGTCCCCCGAGCAGGCGGTGCGGGACAGCAGCCAGGTCATCAAGAGTGAGTCCCTCTGTCCCTCCTCCTGTCCCTGGGTGGGGTGTCTGATCCCGCTTCCCACCGATCCCTCTCCTCCCCAGGCAACATCTTCTACCTGATGGAATACCGGGAGCTCTTCCTGACGCTCTTCCGCAAGTTCGACGAGACCAAGCAGCCGCGCAGCTTCCTGCGGGACCTGGTGGAGACGGCCCACCTCTTCCTCCGCATGCTGGAGCGCTTCTGCCGCGGCCGTGCCAGCCTCGTGGTGCAGGTGGGGCGCGGCTGCCCCGCCGAGGGGGACCCTGGGGGTCGGGCAGCCCCTCCTGAGCCTGTTTTTGCCCCTCCAGAGCAAACGTGTCCGCAGGAAGAAGAAGCCACGGGCGCCCGCAGCCCTCGCCCCGCCGCCGCCCAGCACCGCGGAGCTGGAGGAGCTGTGGGCGGGATTGGCCCCCCAGCTCCAGGCCTGCCTGGAGGTACCAGGGAAGGGTCCGACCCCGCGGGGACCTCTGGGGGTCTTGGCTGGGCAGGGGGTGATGGTGTCCCACCACAGGGCGAGGTGCCCCTCCCCGAGGACGTGGTGCCCTTCGACGCCGCCTCGGAGACGCCGGTGGAGGAGCAGCGTGCGGAGGCTCTGCTGCGGATCCAGGGGTGCCTGCGGCGTTCCCAGGTGCCCCAGGCCCTGAGGCTGCTCCGCTCCGCCAGGTACCGGCACCACAATTCCCATCCTGTCCCCGGGGTGTGGGGACACGGTACCAGCCTGTCCCCCCCGTCCCCAGGGACGTCTGGCCCGAAGGGGACGTGTTCGGAGCTGCTGACGCGGGGCCGCCTGAGGAGACCCGGCTGCTGCGGGAGATCCTCGTCGCTCCCCTGCCCCGTGAGTCCCCCACTCCGGCACCAGGGAGGGGGAGAGCTCTGGGCCAGAAGGGAGAGAGCTTTGGGGACCCTCAGCACGTCTCACCACAGGGAACGCACCCCCTGAGCCCGAGGAGCCGGAGGACGAGGAAGAGGAGGATGAAGAAGAGGAGGAGGAGACAGTGCAAGTGTCAGAGAAGGAATTTAACTTCCTTGACTACCTGAAGCGGTGAGAGGGGTTGGGTGGCCCCGGGGGCGCACGGGGGGTCCCTCCCTGTGGCGGCCGCACTCACGGGGGGCCGTGGCAGGTTCGCCTGTGCCCCCGTGGTGCGGGCGCTGGTGCTGCTGCTCCGGGGGTACGCGAGGAACAGCCCCCGCACCAACCACTGCGCCGCGCGGCTGCTGCACCGCCTGGCCCGCGACCTGCGCATGGAGCCGCTGCTCTTCCAGCTCTCCCTCTTCGCCCTCTTCCACCGCCTGCTCAGCGACCCCGCGGCCGGTGCCCACCAGGTCAGCAGGACCCCCGAGCGCCCCGGGGTGGGGTCTGTCCCCATGTCCCCAGCCCTGCTGTGTCCCCACGTCCCCCAGTCCCACTGTCCCTCCCGCTCTCCCCAGGAGCTGGTGGCCTTGGCCAAGTTCATCCTGGGCAAGTTCTTTGCGCTGGCGGCCACCAACAAAAAGGCCTTTGTGGAGCTGCTCTTCTGGAAGAACCCGACGGCCGTCTACGAGATGACCAAGGGCTACAGCTCCCTGCAGGAGGGAGAGGGGTGAGTGGGGTCGGGGAGGGGGCTGTAACCCCCCCGAGCCCCTCTCCTCTCCCCTCACCCCTTCTCTGCCTCGGCCCAGGGCTCCCAGGAGCCGGGT